TCACTCTGTTGCCCAGTCTGGACTGCATGGCACAATCGTAGCTCACTGCAGCCTCAACTTCCTGGGTTCGAGCAATCCTCCTGAGTAGCTGGGACTACAGGTGCACACCTGGCTAATTTTATTTATTTATTGTAGAGACAAGGTCTTGCTATGTTGCGTAGGCTGCTCTCAAACTCCTGGGCTCAAGTGATCCTCCCATCTTGGCCTCCCAAAGTGCTAGGATTATAGGTGTGAGCCACCATGCCTGGCCATGACCCTATTTTATAGCAGATCAACCAAGGACACATGCAGCTGGTAAAGGGAAGAGCAAGGAGTTTGCATCCCATTGGGCACACTTTTTTTGTGGGGGGGTGATTTTTCTGTGGGGGTATCTGGCTTTAGACTATGTGCTCTGTGAGGACAGCATCTTGTGATAGTATTCAGCAAAGTCCCTGGAACTCAAGTAGGTGCTAATACATAGGTGTTTAATGGAATCAAATGAATGAATGAATGAATGAAGGCGACGTAGCTTGGGGGCTGGCAGTGCTGCTAGATTCCGCTGTTCAACAGATAACGGTCATGCATTTACATTGGGCCAGGCCCTAGAGAAACAAACCGTGGTTTGCGGAGCTGGCCTATCATGGCTCATGGCAGCCGATTGTTAATTTTTCAGAAATTTTGCAAACTGGTTGTCAAACGGTCATTAAAGAAAGATTTAGTTATGTAAAGTCACAATTAAATAAATAATATTTTTTTAACAAGGTAATACAACTCATCACTTCCTAATCATCCTACTACGTTTTGCTAATATCTCTGTTCTTGAAGTTATTTATGTCTAATGTAGGGGTCGCCAAACTTTTTCTGTACAAGGGCCAGGCAGTAAATATTTTAGGCTTTGCAAGTCCACGGGCTGAATCTGGTCCTTTGACTACGGTCGCCAACCCCTGGTCGGTGGCGTCTGTGTGGTGGAAACTCTGTTGTGGGGTGTGAGTCTTCTTACCTCCATGTTCAGAGAGTATGTTGGTAGCTCACAGCTGGCCTCGGGGGTTGTACAGACACCAGGGGAATTGTCACACATCCTAACCGGGACTTTCCTTTCTTCCATAAGCTGACTGTTGAATATTTACCAGCACGCCACTGGTATAAGGACAGCAAGACCGAAAGGACCATGCCCTTGGAGGGTCCAGTGCAGTGTGTTGGGGTTTGTGCATGTTTTGTGGTGGGGCGGACGGAGGAGAGAGCAGGAGACTACTCCTAGGAGAAGGACATGCCCCTGCAGGTGTGGCTGCTGGAAGGGGTACTCAGGCCGACCCCATCCTGGGTTGGCCTCCAGCTCTGTTGCACCCCAACAGGGACTTGGCACCTCATCAGATCCCTTAATGGTGGCCCAGCTAGCTCCAGGGCACACCCTAGAGAACTGGGAGTTGAGACCTGGAGCTCTCGAAGGCCATTTACTACCTGTTCGTGCAGAATCATGTGACACAGAGGGCATCCTCCGGCAACGCTGCCCAGCACGGAAGCAGCAGTCAGGTGAGGGCTGGAACCTGGCTCAAACCAGGAGGCACCACTATCAAAGAATGCAGAAAAGGACAGGTTTGGTTAGTGAACGGGCCTGTGGGAGGGGAGTGAAGGCTGTGTGACCCACCCAGCCCTTCCTGATGCTCTGAACACCTCTCAGGTTCAGTGCTGGAGGGGGAGATCCTCAGGGGCCAGGACCATCCTTTGGAGGGTCTGGGGTCCATGGTGTTGAGGGCAACTCGGGTGTGTGGTTCATCCGTGGAAACTTGATGGGGTGTGTCTCCTACAGGGACGGGCACTCCGGGGATGAAGCTGCTGATGGAGCCTAATGGTAGATTGAGTCATTTCATTTATTCTTTCTTCCTTTGAGTCACGATCTCACTCTGTTGCCCAGGCTGGAGTGCAGTGGCACAATCACCTCAGCTCTGACCTTCTGGGCTCAGGTGACCCTCCTGCCTCAGGCTCTCAAGTAGCCGGGACTACAAGCATGCGCCACCATACCTGGCTAAGTTTTTGATTATTTTGTAGATATGAGGTCTCGCTATGTTGCCCAGGCTGGTCTCCAACTCCTGGGCTCAAGCGATCCTCCTGCCTCAGCCTCCCAAGTGCTAGGATTGCAGGTGGGAGCCACTGGGCCTGGCTTCAGAGTAATTTCTAGGTCAGGAACCTTGGATGGTGAGAGGTGAGAGGCTCTGCAAGGAGTTGCCCAAGTCCCAATCTAGAAGGCTGGGGCCCTGTCGCAGACTGAGTGCCAGCGCCATCCCATTTCATCTTGTCCAGCTTACTGATCCATCTGGCCAGACCTTTCCTAAGCACCAAGGAGTACTGAGTTTGATGATCAGTCACTGTATATTTGTCGAGCATTTGTATGTTTGTATATTTGCTGCACTCACTAGTACAGCCAGTACATAGTAGAGGTGAGGCATGTGACCAGTAGTTCGTTTTTTTTTTTTTTTTTTTTTTTGAGTTAGAGTCTCACTCTGTCACCCAGACTGGAGTGCAGTGGCCGTTCCCGGCCACCGAAGCCTCGACCTGCTGGGATCCGGCGATCCTTCCACCTCAGCCTTCCGAGTAGCCGGAATTACAGGCACGTGCTACTACGCCTGGCTGATTTTTGATTTACTGTAGAGATGAGGTCTCGCCAAGTTGCCCAGGCGGGTCTCGAACCCGCGGGCTCAGGCAATCCATTCACCTCAGCCTCCCAAAGTGTGGGATTACAGTCTGAGCCACCGAGCCCGACTGTGACCAGTATTTCAAATCCTGTTTTCTGTCATGGCTGGGCACAGTGGCTCATGCCTGTAATCCTAACACTTCAGGAGGCTGAGGTGGGAGGACTTCTTGAGCCCAGGAGTTTGAGACCAGCCTGGGCAACATAGCGAGACCTTGTCTCTACAAAAAATTAAAAAATTGGCTGGGTGTGGTGGTGTGTACCTGTAGTTCCAGTTACTCAGGAGGTTGAGGTGGAAAGATCACCTGAGCCCAGGAGGTCGAGGCTGCAGTGAGCTCTGATCGTATGTACCACTGCACTCCAGCCAACAGAATGAGACCCCGACTCAAAAAAGAAAAAAACAAAAAAGGTAAGAATGATGATAATTCCTACCTTCTAGGCTGCTTGGGAGGAAGAAATGAAAAAAATATAGCAAGCCCCAGCACAGGCCTTGGGCGCTGGTCATGATCCTCCTGGTGTTCCTATTTCACATTTACAAATCCACCACCCCACCAGTACTGAGGACTGTGGATCCTGGAAGGAACCAAGGGTCTGCAGCTGGCGACATCTCCTTGTCCTGCTGGCGTCTGGCACCCCAAATGGCTAGACGGGCACCCATGGATGCCCCTGAAGAGGTCAGCTGCTGCCCTGCCTGCCACTGGGCCGCTCCCCTTGGTGACTTTCCAGTGACCCTCATCACCTCCTTCCAGTGTGCCCACGACAGCCTCCTCTCTGCCCTCCCTGCCTCTAGACTACTCCTTTGCAACCCTCGTCCGGGTCACACAGCAGCCTTCTGAAGATGCCATGTACAAGTCATTCCCTTGTATGATCTACATGGCGGCTCCCACCGCCTTGGTCTGAGTCTGCATTTCAGGGTTCTGTCTGCCCACGTCCTGGACCTCAGCCTCACCTTCTCAGGCACCCAGTACACCGTGGCCTCGGACAGGCCGAGGTCCTCCCATCTCTGCCTTGGTACGAGCCGTTCTTGCTTCCTGGAGCACCAACCCTTTCTCTCCCTGATTCCCAAAGACCTCTTGGAATCCTGGTTCCCTGGACTACTGACTGGGCTAGGCATCTCCTCTCTGTTCCTGTAGCCCCAAGCACAGCATGGGTGTTGTCTGTTTTTACATGGCCTTAGACTCTGAGCTCCTTATTTGTGGTTAAGGCATAGGCTCCGGAGTCAGAGACCTGGGCCCAATCCTACCTAGCTAAATGAGCCTGGGCAGGTCAGCTAAGCCCTGTGTACCCTCATCTGCAGGGTGGACAAGGACAGCACCTGTGTCATAGGGTTGCTGTGAGAAGACAATGACGTGTGTGTGCAGAATTCTTAGCACATGGGAAGTCTCAGGCCACTGTGGCTATTACAGTCATCACTACTAATACCCAGTGCCCGCCCGCAACCAGATACAGCAGGCGCCCAATGCACATTTGGACAAATGACCTAATTCCACCTCTTCATGGGGTGGAGTCTTTTGGCCACAACCATCCCCCACACCCACGTTTCTTGGGTGGGCTTGCCCCTTCTTGTTTGATGGTTTTCTCAAGGCAGCTGAAGTCCAGAACTGGAAGGAAACCCCAGCAAAATATGATTAAGTCCATGCATTTCTCATTTTCTACCCTAACTGTGCCCTTGCTGGGACACAGAGAACAGCTTTGCCCATGTCCTGGGCAGCTGGACATGAGTCTTACTCAGTGAGGGAGGCAGGTAAGGGATTACCTACCTCTCACCCCTTGCCCAGCCCTGGCCAGGCTCAGGGAGACGGCCCTCCAGCGAGCACCTCCATGCTGTCTGTTTTTGGCAAAGGGGTGTGTGAATCCCCACTTCCGGGTCACTGTGGCCATCCTGCCGCACTCTGGATGCGTTCAACACAATGCTGCATGCAGTCACACATCTGCGACAGAGGCACCTTCACTTAACAAAAAGGTGAAAATCTGGGGTCTTTAGGTTCTCGGCTGCAAGAGCGGATGGAGGTAAGAAAGCCTGGCCTGGGAGCTGAGCATCTGCTAGGTGTCCCTAGGTGCCAGTCATTATGATGGCAAAAAGGGAGATTTTTGCTTCCAGGTTGGCGTCTGCGACACTAGGACCAAGGGCCCTCAAATATGATTCTCTTCTGGACTGGTGCTGGGCCTGGGGACACAAGAGAGCAGAGACCAGGTGGGGTCTGAGGAGGAGGGAGAGTAGCAGGAGCTTTGTGGGGGGGTGAGAGAAGAGAGGATGGCTGGGCAACTTTGGGGGGCTTTGTTATCTGGCTTCCTGGAGAAGCCTCTGTCTAGGAGGAGGAGAAAGCAGGGGGTCATGGAGTCTGTCTCCGCTCCCCGGAAGGTCTGAAGACCCCAAGGCCAAGGCCAGCAGATGTCAAAGGCCAGGAGGAGAAGCCTGCAGAGTCGGGCAGTCTGAGACGGGGCAGGGTGGACTCACTCTCCGCACAGTTGAGGGAACACCCCATTCGAGGT